GTCGAGGCAGGCCGTGCGCCCAAGTGTCAGAAGGGGCGAGGTGACGGGAGCGGACTGCAGCTTGCTTAGCGGAAAGATGGATTATTTTCACGCTTATTTCGAAATGCTCGGTGGATGTTTGCTTTTGGTGGTTATAAACGCTTGGTGTGACCGAGCCCAGGCTGAAGTTGCTCCGAGCTCAACGTCCCTTTTCTTTGGGGGTTGAACAATCCACACTTCCTCTTCTCTCCGCGGCAGCCATCATGATTTGCAATAGTTCTTGCCAAAAAGGGAAGTCATGAAAACGGCGGCCATTTCTACTCTGATGATCTCTAATAAGTCTTACTAGCATTTGAGAATAAGTATTTAACTATAAAATACATATATACGTGAGCCGTCTAAAATTCGGATAGTGAGATATTAAACATAAACCTATTCTGTATAATTGCATACTAATCTAGTCCTGAGCATAGTCTCTAATAAGGAAATTGGTAATTACGATTTGCCACACATTCCACTGCTAACTGGGAGTCCACACTATCCTTATCCTTTCCGGATTAGACGCCTGATCATTGATAATTTGACAAAAAGCAAAAAATGCGACTACAAGATGATCTGCACTGGTAATGAAACTGCACAAATTAATACCCCATGACCAAGTTGAATTTGTTTCACCCAAGGAGGTGACATGGAAAGTCACTGGAGGTGGACCGTTCATTTTCCAGCTTCTTAGTTTAAAGATTCACTTGCAAAATTGCGCATTGCTCTAAGCCTAAGCTGAAAATCCAATAAAAACTAATAAATATTGTCAAACCGTGCCCAGTGCTTTTTAAATGCAAGGATCAAGGGGAGGCCTTGATTTTATCCCGCAGCAACAACTGTACACAGACAAGGGTAAAAGAAATTGTGTCAGTGGTAGGGCAAATCCTTTTTGGCCCAACATGACATGACTTTTGGCCGTGTAGGCGTTTACTCGACTTAGCACCCTCTCGGGAAACTAATCCGCATTTATTCCAGACCAGGCAATCGGGATCAGTGCCGGTGTCCGACGGCTTTTCGGTTGTCAGAATCTGTCTGATCAGTTCATCTCCTCGCCTCTTGAACTTGGCCGTCTTTAAAGTCCCTACGACTGCGGTCTCCTGCAAGGATATGTAACAAGTGCACATGGATAATCTGCTGCACACGCGCAACTCCCGAACACATCCTTTCTTAAGGCGGACGCTCCTTATCCTGGACTTTTCCCACACGCTTGACCAAATAAATAAATTGTAATCTGCTTTTGTGTTTGATTTCAATCAAAATGCGGACACGCCCACGTTGCCTTCGGCAGAGGTTGATTCCTTGACACGCTCTTCATTCTTCTCGACTTCATCTCCGCGCATCGTCGTGCTCGGGTGCGAAGTCCCAACTTAATCTTGGCCTGCGGCTGAGCCAACTCAACGTTTGACAACATGCCGTTCTTCTGTTTTTTTTCGCCCGCTTGTTTTGTCCGCTGATCGTGCTGATCTATATAAGCGGATTTTTGGATATAGTTGTTCTGACTTCGGAGAATTCCAGAGTGCCTACGGGAAAGGGCTTAGGCAGGTCTTGAAAATATTTTGGTAGATTTTGATTTTGTGACAATTTAGAGATTAACTTTTCGATCAGCTTGAGCAGATTTGCAACTTGTGAATGAACTGGTCAAGAGCCGGAAACTATGAGGAAAATTCCCTGAAATCACTGAAAGGTACGTTTTTTGAGAGCACAGTAAAGTGCAAAAGATAAATTGCTAAGCGGTCGGGCTTAAAAGATTAAGATCGCGGTGGAGAATCGAAAATGCTAATCTGAATTGCCGTTAGTCTTCGCTTTGTAGTTGAGCCGACAAATCAGCGCAATACTCGCCCATTTATATTTATATCAGCGAGCAATCGACACGATCGCTATCTCAACAGGTCTAACGCAACGAAAAAGGCACCTAGGAAAGGTTGCCCAAAGAGCCCACCGGCATATGAATCACTCACAACAACAAGACGAAGTACATCATATTCAGAAGGAATATGGCTATGAAGTTGGGTTGTCCGCCGATCTATTTTGATCCACCACAAGAGGCGGAAGTTGGGCGCTTGTAGAAAGTCTTAAGTTAAGTGCATCCCATTGCCAATACAGATATCAAATTTGGATATTACAATTGAAACAACCTTATTAAACGAAAGCATATACGAACGTTTATTAAACGAGAACAAAAGAGAAAATTATTGTAGCTGGGATGCCGAATGGTTGAAGGAATCGTACCTTGTTGAGAATGTACATTACAAACACAAGGAAATTCGGAAAAGAAGAATCCGGAGGAGGGGAATACGGAGACGGAGACGTAGATAACCCCAGATTCCAAAATTATGGATTATGGATTGGCGATTAATTACGCCAACTCGTCTCCCCATTCCACGGTGCCGCTGCCGGCACCTCAACTGCTCTGGATAGCGACGACAAAGCGCCGTCAATTTATGACTTCTACTAATAAATATATTCATGTGTATTAACATTTTTCTAGGGAGGTGGCTTCTTCAATCTTTTGTCAATTTTACATCACTTAATTTGGAATTTCGTGCGGGCAACTGGTGTGAAAGATGAGCTTCAGCTTATCATTTCTAGGATTTGTAATCTTGGAGATACAGCTAGAGATTTTTAGTCTCCTCCACATAAAACAAAGCACAAAACAGTGATTCTTTTGCCTGTGCGTCGTATTTTAGCCAAGATAGAAACTCGCGGCTTTTATTTGATGGACAAATTCGAAAACATCAACGAGTTTTGGTTTTTAATATGTATAGGTTTAACCAAATCTGTGGACGTGAGTGAGACAGCACAAGGTAGACATTCACAATGGTGTCACCACACCCACTGGCAGATCCAGTTTGAGTCTCCGAGAGGGCAGTCGGGGACGATCGACAAACATGACAAGCTGGCGCATCGAATCGCCATTTTTTTGCTGTCCTCTTCTTGATCCTAGTAGCGGTCTTCCTGTCACGTGAGCCATGATCAGTCTACGTAATATTGGCAATAAAATTCTATTCCTAATCCTTGACCATGGCTTGCTCTATGATTATACTTACCTTGAAAATTCGTATGAGGGTTGAACAAAAATTTTATTATTCCCAATTAGTTCCGATTGGGAGAGCGGATTCATGGAGCATATGCAGGATCGTCAATAGCTGCCATGATTTCCATTGCTTCGTGTTACTCATTTACAGCAGATTATCGACGGCCCGGGTGATCGCATTGTAGACTGACCTGGGTTTGAGCCATCAACGATCTGATAAAGGAGACCAGAACCACATCTGCCGGCTGGCCGATTGGTTTCGCCTAAATGCCATCGCCTCCTACTTGCCACATTAGCTCAGTGCATTGTTTTTGTCGTGTGCCTATTTATTTATAGCCTGCAGCCCGACGAGAGAAATTTCGCGGGCGGGTCCAAGACATGATTTTGATCATCTATTGATTACATCAGGATTGGTTGATAAATTTTAAAACAATTTTGAGTACTGACGCTTTTAATTTATAATTGTCTTCTTAACCCCCACGTGCCTTGAAAACGATTAAACATTTATTTATTTAAGTTTATTTTTAAGAATTATTTTTGGCAATTTATTTAATTGGTAAAATAAGTCAATCAAATATTAATCTTGAATTTGGTTTAATGTTTATTAACCCTTAGGAGCAGAATACTAATTGTAAATGTATCCAACTAAATTTAATAAAATATCAAAATTGAATATTGTCATAAAGCTGGGTGCGAAAAGTTTCTTAGGTTCTGCACTTTCCATTTTTCTATGCCGCCGTTAATTATTATCTAACAATTCTAATCAGATCAAAAACTCTTTGTCGCATTGGAAGTACCATTTTAATTTTACACGAATTTAATTTACCTTACGATTATACATACATTCTACAGAGTTTCCACAGAGTTTTTGGCGACATCTAGCGCTCAAGCGCTATACTAAGCTGCAAAAGAAGGTTTTATTTAAGTCTTAAATTTAAATAAAATATTCATATTGTTATTTATTTAATATTATGACTCCAATTCTCACCGTCTTTGTTAGAAATCGTGACAGAGTTACGGAATGTAAGCGCGAGGGACGAACTCATTTTCTGTTTAGTTCCTGCCACGGCTTTAGAACGGCTATAAAACGGCGGCCCTCCAACAATATAATAATTTTATCATGAATGCTCAGTACAACGCCCACCTTGGACACGCCCCTTGTGCCCAGAGCTCACAAGAAACACAACGCGGCCGTGCCTCCAATCTCGAAAAGGGGCACCCAGACTCGTACGTGCTGTCATCGATCGCGATCGCGGAACCAGAGGAGTAGGCATGACGAGGAGGAGAGGAGGAGACGCGGAGTCGGCGGAGCTGGAGAAGCGGTGCGGGGCTCAGGTGATAAAGCTGCAGCAGTTTGGGCAGCAAAGCCAGGGCTAATGTGATTACGGACTTTAAGTTTATAAACATCGAACGGCTTCGAAGCTGGGGCTCCTGGTCCAGGCATCCGAGCCCTCCTGTTGCGTTGCAATTACGGCGCGTGCAGACGAAGCCGGCCCCCTGTCTTGCCTACCCCCCTGAAGAGTTCTCCCCCCGCTGCTCACTGGGGCGGCACATGATGAATTCTTATTAGCTGTCTTGGGCTGCGGCGACTTCAACCGCTGGGCTTCCTTATAACTTGTGCTCTATTTTTCTCGCTTCTCGCCTTAGGTGGGATCAAAATGTGGATCTCCCCTGAGCTGTCGATTTGAGACCTGCGGTCCGTTGTCAGTGGCCAGGGCTCTGTTGCTGCCTGGCTGTCTGCCCTGGCCAGCTCGAAGCCCGGTAACGTATCACTTGGCTGGGATCGACCGTGTTTTGCATTCCTTCTCCTTGCTCAAGGCACACGCGCAAATCCCTAATGGAATTCGCCCCCTCATCGGTAAGCGAGTACCGAATGAGCTCCATGGAGCAGCGGGAATCACCATGCCCTCTCCCCTAAATAATCGTCCACTCAAGCAACATAGCATTATTTTAACAGATTCTAAGATAGGCATTATATATTTTATACAATAATTTCGGCGAATAAGCGTAAGCAACTTTAATCACTCATTGAGATCGACGCCTTCACCATTCACTTGAATGGTGATCTGATCACTGGTCACATCGTGCTCTCTCTCCCGATGCAACTGCAGGGGAGGAGCAGGGGCCACTCCTCGCCTGGGTAGTGAGCGCAAGGATATCTCGTCGCTTTCGCGTCTCACGAAGCGACGCCGCGTCCTGGCGAAGTCGAAGGCTTCCCGCTGCCTCTGCCGCGACTGGGCGTAGGCGGCGTCCGTCAACTGCTGCAAGGCCTGCGTGGAGCTGGTGCGCCGGAGCTGGGCGACATCGGCTGGGAACTGGGGCTGCCCCTGGCCAGATGCCTGCACAGAGGGCTGGCGCTGGCGACCCCCGAAGCATCCAGTTGAGTAGCGTCCATCCGCAGAGCGCGACCGGCGGTGGCGTGCTGACTCCCGCGCACTAAGAAGTTGCTGGACAGAGAAAAGGTTGAGTAGTGGCAGAAGTGTATTTTCCCATATCGCTGTTCGTTACCTGCTGCATTTCATCCTTGCGCAGGCGGCGCAGACCCTGCTGCTCCTCGAGCTTGTTGCTCATCAGGCTCATCCAGTCGCGGGCTTGCCTCAGCGACAGGGAGCTCTGCGAGCGTTCGGGGAGTCGGGTCGGAAACAGCGTTTCGCGGGCTCCCACAACACTGCCGCTGTCGAGGACAAATACACGCGGGAAGTCGATTACGAAGTCGCGGCTTCGAATGAGATCTGCCAAGGCGCCGGGCCTTGTTTGAGCCGCTTCAGCTCCAGGCTCCGTAGAGCCGTTTCCCGCATCCACAATTGTCAGAACCTGTGGGGGATCCGGCTGGTACTCCAGAATACTTTCCTCGCTGCCTAGAAACTGCAACAAAAGAGATCTTTCTAGTTCTGGTTCGACTCCAAGAAATAGATGAAGCAAGCAGTTCTAAATGCAAGATGCGGCGACTTTCAAATACATTTTCAAATTTCAATATGTTTATTTGGTTGGTTCTTAAAAATTTTTGAGTCCACAATTTGTAAAAGGGGCTTAGCAAAGATAATATATTATGTCTTTTCGATTATTTAAACCGATCAGCATGGTCTTTTTTAGAGATTGATGCTTAAATAATCTAAATCAACAAAAAAAGGAAATTAGCTATTTATTAAACTATAAAAGAATCCAAATGGGAAACAAGTCCTGAAACGTTAATAAATGTTAAAAATGTAGAGCTATTGAAAGCCGAAGCCTTTTAATTATGTGAGGTTTTATAAGAGCAGCAACAAAATGTTTCAAAATGTTGTATACCATTTTGTTAATAAATGCAAATAAGACGCAGGCATTACGAAATAATTGAAATAAAATATTTTTTTGATTTATTCAATTTGAACAACTAAAAGCAAATACTTTGGCACCTTCAATATTACAGAAATCATTAATAAGTAATGTGCGCTGAGTGCGATTGGTTTGTGTAACTCTTTGTTGGTCTAAACGGCAGAGATCTCGACTTCGCATGCCTTTGACTAGCAAAACAGTCGCAGATTTTGCTAAAATTATTGCATTTAACATTACATATTCTACAGCTATAAGATATAGTCATTGTTTATAATTGTATTGGTATAGTATTTTAGGTAGGCATAGTTATTGTAGTACTCGCAATTAATTTCCTTCGTCTACGTTTATCGACAATTCTTACTCTTACATAGAACTTAAATATTTACCTTAAACCCTATGCGATTTAAGTTTATTCATAAATCCGTTTTCAAGTTGAACTTCTAGCGGTATTTTGTATTTTTGCTTAGATACATAAAATGTGCGTGGGTTCTTGTAAAACTAAAATTGAAGTCTTCTTATCAGCACATGTAAGTACACTGTTCTCAAATGAGTTTATTTACAAATAAGTGAATATATCATAGTCCAAAAAGCCTTTACGTTACTCTGAATCGGCATCAGCACTTGTAATGTCAAGCCAAGGAAAAGGTTGATCGTTATAATCAGTAATCAAGTTCTTGTTTATATATAGTACGTACAAAATCTCACACTTCAAGTTTTGAATACATAACTCAATTAAAATTATTTATGGTTGAGGCTGACAAAAGGATGCACTTCGCAGATGGCGTTCCTGTAATGTTGCAAGTTTACTATACAAATTTCGATGCAAGTCCTTGCCAAAGCAAGGTAAACATTGGTCTGGCTGTAAGGTTCTCTGATCGAACCAAAAACTATAACTCACTACAGCTTACTATTGAATACCTGCTCGCGGGCAGTTCATATGTACACAGTAAGTTGAATGCAGTATCTTAGACTTATTCGTGGGTGGCTTGGAGATATCTTAAACGTCGGTAACCTGATGGCTGGCAGTACAAATAATAGCGTGCGGCATTGTGGCGGGAGCGGAGTTGCGTCTGCCGCGCTCCGCTGCCGCCTGCCGCGGGTGGTGTTGGTACGCAAGCGGCGGCAGCTGCTGCTGGATACTACTGCTAGGACTACGACTACGCGGGAGGAAGTGACTGGGAGCGAAACTACTCATGTTGCTGGCTTGCAGCTGCTGGAGGGGCTGTAGGGGCTGGAGGGGCTGCGGCCCCATTGGCAAGGCCACCACAATGACGGGCAGCTCCTCGATGGAGGGCTGGGCCACAGCCACGGCGGCTATGGGCGCAGTGTGCTGCGGACTGGGGGTTTGGTAAATTTGGTCACCCACCACATATCCGTAGAACTTGAGCACGTCGAGCTTGCACATGGGGCATGTTCGGTGTTCGATGAGCCATGGATCGATGCAGTTTTTATGGAACTCGTGCCTGGAAATATGAAGTTCAGTAGTCATCCTTTTATAGATAATGATAATGCTGCTGGTCACTTACTTGCACGGCAATATCCGTATGGTGTCCGTGGGCTTATATGCCTCGATGCATATGGCGCAGCAGTCGCTGTCCAAGTCCTTCTCGTCGCTGATTTTCCCCGTCTTTGTTGGAATCTTCATGATGGCCTTTTTGGTGACAGAGCACAGATTGCGCTACGTGGGAGAATGGATTAGTCTTGGAATATATTTATTAGTGGGCAGCTTACCGATTGTTGATCCTTTGCCTGCATGTAACGGAACCTCTGAATGTAGTAGAATATGAGCCAAACCAGCGAAATAATCATCAAAACGATGAATGCTATGGACACGAACAGCACTGACGTCCTGAAAAATAAGTGGGATGAAAACATTATTTATTCAAAAACATTTGTTCACGAACAATATATCCTGACAGAACAATATTGCTAGCATTGCTTATCATTAGTGGGTAAAGCAGAACATTCGTTACTGCGGTTGTACTTGGAAATTGTCGCGAGAGTGCGGCAAGGGGACGTAGCTCAGTGGTAGAGCGCTCGCTTCGCATGTGAGAAGTCCCGGGTTCAAACCCCGGCGTCTCCATTTGAATAACGTATAGTGTTTATTTTTTTTAAATTTAAACATATTGTTTATATTTTTTAAATTTAAATGCGTATTTAATTTAAGCCCAAGCAACATTTGTTTGCAACAATTGGGATCAAAAATAACATAAATAATTTGAGCTTTATGCGGGTGATGAAACAGAAAGAAGCTGTTATATATAAAAGATACATTTTTAATTTAAAACAATATAAAGATATCTTTTAATTTGTTACGTAAAATGACCAAAAACATAGTAGGTAAGCTTTTCGTAATATAAATAATATTTTGCTCCTCTTTTACTTTAGAAGAGTATTTAACATTCCGTATAAATCAAATCTGCTTTACCGACGTCAATGTGATAAAGCAGTGCGTAATAAATGCGCGACTACTGCCCTTCCTCTAGATAACAATTGGTCACCGGTTTGCCACACGGGGACGTAGCTCAGTGGTAGAGCGCTCGCTTCGCATGTGAGAAGTCCCGGGTTCAAACCCCGGCGTCTCCAACACGAATATGGATTTTTTTCTTTTTCAACAAATATTTTTTTTTATGATATTAATCTTATTTTAACGAAAAAAGGTTGTTTAACTTAATCTTTCAGATTCTTCAACATCAGCAAGTGATATCCAAAACGAACCCTACACCAGACCTCAAAAAGGTCTATTATACAAATAAAATGAATTAACAATAAAAAGGTTTCAAGGGCTCGGTTATTTATCGGTAATCTTAATTGGCAATATAATATTACCAAACAATTGGCTAACTTGATTAATTACACGGAAGTTTCGAGGACTCCATGGGGACGTAGCTCAGTGGTAGAGCGCTCGCTTCGCATGTGAGAAGTCCCGGGTTCAAACCCCGGCGTCTCCAAGATAAAAGGAATTGCTACCTTCTTTTTTACCACCTTTTTACTTTAACAATGCAATAGAACTGATAGAACTCACCGATTCACGCTGCTGACGGTGCGTACTCCCCGTCGTCCTTCGATAATGGAAATGGTCACATTGGAGCCCCTGTCGAGTGTCATGGCCAGGTCCTGTCCAATATTCTGATAAGTTATCACTGCGGCTATGCTTCCTGCAGGAATACAAATGCACTGATTAGCAGGTTGAAACGTTAGGTATCAGGGCTGAAACTCACTTGTCTTGCCCTTGATCTGCATCTTCTCCAGCTGCATCACTTGCTTGTCGTTGTAGATAATGACACCGGCTGCGTTCTGCTGGTAAACATGTTTAACTTTTTCCTCGAAGGTGCAGCGCCCCCGGCGGACCAACGCTATCCAGGGGCCCTTGTCTGGCGTTGGGGCTCCTAGAGTTCCCCGGATGTATGGTGTGCAGGCGTAGTCGTCACTGACGTTGTCCGTGGCGCTGATGTGGATCAGACGCCCCGTGACGTTCAACACCTTGCCCTCTCCGTAGCGAGCCTGCTCCTGGGCAAAGTCCATAGTGCACAGCGTGTTGCCGTGGTCCACATACGACCAGTTGAGAAAGGCGTAGTTGTAGACATCGACTGCAATGCGGTCCTCCATGCTGGAGAAGGTGTGCGTGCCGTTTCCCGGCCTGAAGTAGCGCTCCAAGTCCTGATTGGCTATGGACATGGCGGCGACCAAAGTGGTTGTCGTTGTGGGGGAAGTGAGATGTGGCAGTCCCCCGAACAGCAGCACTAGGCAGGCCAGTAGGAGCATTTCCCGTAAATACATGCTGCGGTAGTTTTTCGGCTGTTTTTGTTTCTAATCAGAATAACTCATTTGCCTCTGAGCGAGTGTGGTTTGGCAACTGAAACGAAAAAGCGACGTAGAGCTTATCATAACTATTAGAGGACTGTGGTTATCAGGCATTAAGACGCCTTCCTCAAAAACCAGAAATAGCCGATGGTAGTTTTGTTATTGTTTGGTCTAATACTGTCCCACGTTACCCAACCCGATATGCATCTTATCAGAGTTATTCCATAGGCAACCAAATTTTTTGCGCATGAAAAATATGAAAAATAAAAGCTACTTTTATAAAGACTTTTAATGAAGCAATTTGAAGACATTTTAAAAGCCTTATACAGAGCCAGCAATGCATTGGACTTATGAGGCCTCTGGGCCTCGAAAAAAACCAATGCCACCAGAATGAAGCGTGGGTGTGTGCAGCTGGGCTGACTTTGAAAAGTGGATCGGAATCTGGTTTAGACGGCAACCGCCGACTCTTCCTGCCTCCGCGTTCACGGCACAAAAGACAATTTCCATGTGGACGGTCTTTAACTTCAGCTGAATCCTGACCCAAGACACATAACCACTCGGATTATAGTCTAAGGAGTATAATAAATAACATTTCTACTTGTTTCGGTTGAGAAACTAAAAGAAGTTTCCTCGAATAACCCTTAGCCAGACTTTAATTTGAGGTCAGTTCGTGTATGCTTGTTCTGTAATGTAAATACTTGCAAGTGAAAAATAATAAAAGTTTCCCAAGAGTCAAAACCAGTTTGTCAGGGCCGTATTGAAACGGCAGGCTTTTTGAAAAATATTTTAGTATGAAATAATCATCGATTTTAGCTAAGAATTCCACAGAAACAACAATGAAAAATGTGACTTGCTTAGGATAATGACCCTGAGAGTGTGGATACAGTTTAACCTAGTCTAAACATATGCATATATAAATGTATATTCAAGTGCGTGAATGCATCAAACAATATTAAAAACACAAAAAGGGAAGCTAAAATACACTTGCAGCTTTTACGTACATGTATTATTTTACATTTCATTTCAATGCGTAAACATGACCAACTTATATGTTGCTTTTTAAAGAATCAAATCTCAAGACTTAAGAGGTATGCCACTTTGAAATCGGATCAAATTTGGTAAAGTTATGGACTCTCGAAGTCCAATTGCAAGTAAGTAACCTTTTTACAAGGCCGATCCTTATGAAATTTGATAGGTCGGATTGGTCGGAACCCATAGAAAATCCCAACTTCCTAACTTAACAAAAACCAAAGTTATGGCATTTCCGATCAATCAGTTATATGGCAGCTATAGTATATAGTCGGCCAATCCTTATAAAATTTGGTAGGTCGGATTGATTGGCCAAATATAAAACCCCTAGAAAATTCCAACTTCCTAACTTTACAAACACCAAAGTTATGGCATTTCCGATCAATCAGTTATATGGCAGCTATAGGATATAGTCGGCCGATTCCGGCCGTTCCGACATATATACTGCGTGCAAAGGAAAGAAGGGTGTGTGCAAAGTTTCAATTCGATAGCTTTAAAACTGAGAGACTAGTTTGCGTAGAAACAAACAGACGGACAGACGGACATGGCTAGATCGACTCTCCTGGTGATGCTGATCAAGAATATATATACTTTATAGGGTCGGAAATGTCTCCTTCACTGCGTTCGCTTCCGTCTTTCATGTTCTCATAATAAGAACTCACCTTCAAGTATCCTTAAATTTTTCCATTAAATCACTTGGAAAAAAAGACGGACAGACGGACATGCTTATATCAACTCAGGAGGTGATCCTGATCAACAATATATATACTTTATAGGGTCGGAGATGTCTCCTTCACTGCGTTGCACACTTTTGACCAAAATTATAATACCCTCTGCAGGGTATAAAAATTTGAACGCAGATTTTTAATGAATCAAATCACAAGTCTTAAGAGGTATGCCACTTTGAAATCGGTTAAAATTTGGTAAAGTTATGGACTCTCGAAGTCCAATTGGAACAAACCTTTTTACAAGCCAGCGGAAACTTAGAAATATCTAACATGAAAATGGGTTCAAAATTTGATCATCGTTAAATTGAAAATTTTGAATGCAGATTTTTAGAGAATCCAATTACGAGTCTTTAGAGGTATGCCACTTTGGAATCGGCTTAAGTCTGGCAAAGTAATGGACTTTCGATGTCCCATTTTGGGTCAACATAAAACAAGTCATCGGAAAATTAGAAATGACTTACATGAAAATGGGTCCAAAATTTGATCATCGTTAAATTGAAAATTTTGAATGCAGATTTTTAGAGAATCCAATTACGAGTCTTTAGAGGTATGCCACTTTGGAATCGGCTTAAGTTTGGCAAAGTAATGGACTTTCGATGTTCAATTTTGGGTCATCATTAAACAAGTCATCGGAAAATTAGAAATGACTAACATGAAAATGGGTCCAAAATTTGATCATCGTTAAATTGAAAATTTTGAATGCAGATTTTTAGAGAATCCAATTACGAGTCTTTAGAGGTATGCCACTTTGGAATCGGCTTAAGTTTGGCAAAGTAATGGACTTTCGATGTTCAATTTTGGGTCATCATTAAACAAGTCATCGGAAAATTAGAAATAACTAACATGAAAATGCGTCCAAAATTTGATCATCGTTAAATTGAAAATTTTGAATGTAGATTTTTAGAGAATCCAATTACGAGTCTTTAGAGGTATGCCACTTTGGAATCGGCTTAAGTTTGGCAAAGTTATGGACTTTCGATGTCCAATTTTGGGTCATCATTAAACAAGTCATCGGAAAATTAGAAATAACTAACATGAAAATGGGTCCAAAATTTGATCATCGTTAAATTGAAAATTTTAAATATAGATTTTTAGAGAATCCAATTTCGAGTCTTTAGAGGTATGCCACTTTGGAATCGGCTTAAGTTTGGCAAAGTAATGGACTTTCGATGTCCAATTTTGGGTCATTATTAAACAAGTCATCGGAAAATTAGAAATGACTAACATGAAAATGGGTCCAAAATTTGATCATCGTTAAATTGAAAATGTTGAATGCAGATTTTTAGAGAATCCAATTACGAGTCTTTAGAGGTATGCCACTTTGGAATCGGCTTAAGTTTGGCAAAGTTATGTCCAATTTTGGGTCATCATTAAACAAGTCATCGGAAAATTAGAAATAACTAACATGAAAATGCGTCCAAAATTTGATCATCGTTAAATTGAAAATTTTGAATGTAGATTTTTAGAGAATCCAATTACGAGTCTTTAGAGGTATGCCACTTTGGAATCGGCTTAAGTTTGGCAAAGTAATGGACTTTCGATGTCCATTTTTGGGTCATCATTAAACAAGTCATCGGAAAATTAGAAATAACTAACATGAAAATGGGTCCAAAATTTGATCATCGTTAAATTGAAAATTTTGAATGCAGATTTTTAGAGAACCCAATTAGAAGTCTTTAGAGGTATGCCACTTTGGAATCGGCTTAAGTTTGGCAAAGTTATGGACTTTCGATATCCAATTTTGGGTCAACGTTAAACAAATCATCGGAAAATAAGAAATGACTAACATGAAAATTGGTCCAAAATTTGATCATCGTTGAATTGAAAATTTTGAATGCATTTTTAGAGAATCCAATTACGAGTCTTTAGAGGTATGCCACTTTGGAATCGGCTTAAGTTTGGCAAAGTTATGGACTTTCGATGTCCAATTTTGGGTCATCATTAAACAAGTCATCGGAAACAAGAAATAACTAACATGAAAATGGGTCCAAATTTTGATCATCGTTAAATTGAAAATTTTGAATGCAGATTTTTAGAGAATCCAATTACGAGTCTTTAGAGGTATGCCACTTTGGAATCGGCTTAAGTTTGGCAAAGTTATGGACTTTCGATGTCCAATTTTGGGTCATCATTAAACAAGTCATTAGAGGTATGCCACTTTGGAATCGGCTTAAGTTTGGCAAAGTAATGGACTTTCGATGTCCAATTTTGGGTCATCATTAAACAAGTCATCGGAAAATAAGAAATAACTAACATGAAAATGGGTCCAAAATTTGATCATCGTTAAATTGAAAATTTTGAATGTAGATTTTTAGAGAATCCAATTACGAGTCTTTAGAGGTATGCCACTTTGGAATCGGCTTAAGTTTGGCAAAGTTATGGACTTTCGATGTCCAATTTTGGGTCATCATTAAACAAGTCATCGGAAAATAAGAAATAACTAACATGAAAATGGGTCCAAAATTTGATCATCGTTAAATTGAAAATTTTAAATATAGATTTTTAGAGAATCCAATTACGAGTCTTTAGAGGTATGCCACTTTGGAATCGGCTTAAGTTTGGCAAAGTAATGGGCTTTCGATGACCAATTTTGGGTCATCATTAAACAAGTCATCGGAAAATAAGAAATAACTAACATGAAAATGGGTCCAAAATTTGACCAACGTCAAAATGAAAAATTTGAATGCAGATTTTTAATGAATCAAATCACAAGACTTAAGAGGTATGCCACTTTGAAATCGGATAAAATTTGGTAAAGTTATGGATTCTCGAAGTCCAATTGGAAGAAACCTTTTTACAAGCCAGCGGAAACTTAGAAATAACTAACATGAAAATGGGTCAAAAATTTGACCAACGTAAGAAAAATTTTAATGCAGAATTTTAATGAATCAAATGAAAAGTCTTAAGAGGTATGCTACTTTGAAATCATTAAAATTTGGTAAAGTTATGGGCTCTCGAAGTCCAATGGGAAATAACCTTTTGACAAGCCAGCGGAAACTTAGAAATAACTAACATGAAAATGGGTCAAAAGTTTGACCAACGTTAAAATGAAAAATTTGAATGCAGATTTTTAATGAATCAAATCAAAAGTCTTACGAGGTATGCCACTTTGAAATCGGTTAAAATTTGGTAAAGTTATGGATTCTCGAAGTCCAATTGGAAGTAAGCTTTTTACAAGACAGCGGAAACTTAGAAATAACTAACATGAAAATGGGTCAAAAAAATGAACGATATTAAAATGACAAATTTGAATGCAGATTTTTAAGGAATGAAATCACAAGACTTAAGAGGAATG